ACATGTTTGAACATGTGGTTGAATACATTTTATTTTGAATAAACGAGTGCTGAGATACAGATTGTGTGATGATTTGATGCAAACAAACCATATCCGTACTGTGCAAACATTGGCTGGCAGTGTTTTTTGTCAGTTACATCGAGTGTTTGTTCAAATAGGTCGATTCAGATGGGTTGCATATAACCGACTAATCCAGCATTCATCCATTGTCAAACAACCATAATGCACAATACCACCAAGTGTGCAATCACACCCGCACTGATCAGTCGTTGCACAGTATGCATCGGTCAATGTCAAACATATGTGTGTCTGCAACTAAATTGCAGTCCATGACACATCCACACGATCCAACATGACAAATCATGTATCATGAGTCCGAGATTGATCAAAAACCTGATCATGGTAAACATAGCATGTTGTTGCATATCAGAGTCAATATATCAAGTGACAATTGCACACTGGTTGATGGTGCACAGCGTATCAGTCACAATACATGCACGGTATTGCATTGCAGTCATTGGATGATAACTGGTTTCAATGTGATACCGATCGACATACATCAGCATGGTGTAATGTGACCATAATCATGGTGGAATGTGTTGGAGTTGACATTGTGAGTTGACAATCGATACACCATGCACATGACTGGAACATATATATTCGAGTGTGGTTTGGTTGGTGTCAGATTGATCATGCAATCACATCGGTGCAACGAGTGAGTGAGCTGATGGTGATTTGAACCCATTTCAACAACAAGTATTGACGGTCGTGGATTTGCATGCATTCAATGTGTGTAGCACACCGTTGTTGACTGTTGACTGTGTAGGCAGGTCATCACCAACCACCAACCACCAACCAGATCCAGTGCGTACATGATCATTACTAGAATGACTGTCAAACATATTCGTGTCTGAAAGTTGACTGTGAGTTGGTGGTTTGCAAGAACCGGGCACAACCAACATGCTATTGCATACAGCAACCTGATTATAGTCCAGTCGCATGGTGTGATACAGTGGTTCATGCAATACAACATCCAGATATTTGTAGTATTGAACACGACGAATTTGTTGTCCGTGTAGCATCATATCAATTGGTAATTTGAAATCAAAGTATTGACCAACGCTTTGCAAGTATTAATGACTGAATCAAAAAGCATAGTGGTTTCAAAGAGTCGCTTGCAACATTCCAAGCGATATCATATCGACACGATACACACATGCATGTCAGCATCATCAATGTGTACAACTATGCAATATATAATCAACTGTATCGTATTAAAAATACAAGTGTCGATGTACAATATGATATCATGCCAACCAAGACTGTGTAAAATGATCAGATTAAAATGCATCTACATGCAATATCCAATATAGAGTGGCAATTGTATTGTATTTTATTCAAGTAAAAATACAGTGAATTCGGTTGAAACCAGTCCAGATTAACATTCAAATCAATCGAATGAATCTTCACGTCTAGTTTGCTTAAAAAATGATCGAACCTGCTCATAAATTTGAAAGCTCTGTGTGTTGGACTATAGGTGTTTCGCTTGATGATAATGGACTTTCATGATGTTGTGATTGATTCTGGGTCTCGCTAGTAGAGGCTTACTCCGATTCTGACTGCTGGTTTAGTTGGAGAGTGAGAGATTTGTATATGTTTTCAACAAAACTGGGATTTGATACTATAAATTTCGTATAAGAATAAAGTGATTCTGTACTCGGACCATTCTGGAACAGACGCTTTGCAAGCTTTTTTCTGTCAAAATCCGATTCCAACTTAAAATCAAAAAGATCATGACCGAGTTTCAGACGCTTTTCTCGAAGCCTTTCGAGTTTCTCGCTCTCTTTAAGCTTCTGTTCTGAATTTTGAAACTCTTTATACACTGGATCATCCTTGCTTTGCCGAGATTTATCTGCCGGCTCCAAATGTTCTTCATTTAGCCGTTCCATCATTTTTTTTTGATCAAGCTCTTCAAATTTGGTCAAGACATACGCTTTCTTCATCTCTTGATATTTTCGATCCGTTTGTAGGTATCCTTTAATCAATCTCGCATCACTCTCTAAAAGTTGACTGAGATCAACTAGATTTGTAGCTTCTTCATAAGAAATTATCCGATACTCAGATTCAGTACTTGTAGTTGCAGTGGAAATGATGGTTGAAGTGCTAGCTCCAGCACTTGTAGTCGCACTGGGGTCGACTGGATTGGCGACCGTGACTGAGCAAGCAAACAGGATTGATGCCAATACTGTGACTGCGAATTTCATTGTATTGGTTTGGTTGAGCAAGTTGTAATTATTGTTATTTGATGAGTCAATTTTGGATTGTATTTATATCAGTTATTGGATGGATGGTATTAAAAGCATATTTCTTGGATGACCGTCCTAAGGGATTGTGTTGTCAGGGTTAATAGTGATTTGACATCAATCTCAAACTTTAAAGGGATATCCATTTATATAATCCAGTATTGATTGGACCGCAGCTTGACTATACACTCGAATATCATGGCTGATTATGTAGTTTTACACTCTTATCCACCCTAAAAAGGGCTAGAGCCACAATATAGGAAACGAGTACAAACCAAGACTATATGCAACTGAATGACAGCTCAGTTGTTGGATGATCATCAATATGTGTTGTGGTTGACATGATTCAAACATGCTGTGGTTTGGTGATGCTCTGCATTCAACTCGACACGATCAATCATCACTGCATATTACTCAGTAATTCAATCAATCAACTGAATCAATACAATATAGTCCATGTTACAACCACAATGTCACATTTATGATCAATGACTTGCAACTGTTGTGTTGGCATTTCATGTTGTGTGATGCTATATCAACATTGATTGTCACTATATAGTTGTATCAACCACACATCATGATCATATGTCATGGTTGACTCGTATTCTGGATTGATGCACTCATTCCACTCCACTCCACTCCATCACTCGAACACAAACATCGTATGACTTGTTGATTGATAATACCCATATTGATCGAATACACACTACATGACACATATCAGATTAGTGTATACATTCCACTATATAGCACATCATGTTGCTGATACCACGCATTGTGATTCAACAGTCAATCTGTATTCGAGTTCAACTACAATTGTTCGTGTCAATCATAATATACACGACCAATTGTAGTCGAGTTGATCCGACTGAATCGAGTCCGAGTCATCATGTTCATATCAAACCATTGTAAACCATGACAAGTCTATTGCACAACTCCACTCGTGTTGATTACAACATGCTATTCATAAATGTATCATATTGTCCTGTAATGACTGTACATGATTGTTTGCAACCAGTAGATTCGTTGATTGATATCCACAATATGATCCAGTAGTCGTCCAGATTGTGTGTTGTATTTGGTGTGTTGGGTGATGATATCAACCTGTAGTCAAGGTTTGACTATCTGAACATGTCGGTGACTTTTTACCAACTGTGTGCAACTCGATGTCCAATATCGAGTCATGTCATTGGTCAATTGATTGGTTCAATTCATCAGTGGGTTTGCTGGATTCATGTGGTGTGCAGCACTTTCAAGAGTATGTTGAATCTGTTTCAGTATTGGAACTTTGTAAACGGATCAACATACTAACCTGACCATGATTGTGGTGGTTATTGCAGTCGAGTCGTAAAGCTTATTCTGGCAATCATTGATGGTTTCAACAATCGTTTGAATAATCGTTTGGATGTCAGGTTACGGTATCCTGATTGACAACTCGACTCGGATACAACTTTGATTTGGACAATTACTGATCAATGGATTGGACAATGAACTAGGAATCAATCAACACATTGACAGATTTGTCATCCCAAATGGAAACAACGACAATCCAGTTGTAATCCATATTGAGCCTTGAATTCAAACAGTCGTGAATCAAATCATTAATAAACTACAAAAACAGTCCAATATGCCAACTCGCATTTATCCACGACTCGATATGTGATGTTCAAATATCTAATATTCAGACTGTGCTGATTGCAATTGTGGTTGTGTGTAAATATCAATCCAATACTTGATTCAACTTGAGCATGTCCAGTTTTGTAGTAATCCATTTGATCACATTGACAGAATCAAGCAATGATCTGATTCAACAACACTGAATGATGCATCCATATCACTTTTATCAATCAGTTGTACACAATCAGTCAATATAATCAACAGTCACTGTCATGATTGGCATGATTGATTCGATCCATTTAATTGTATAGATCTGACTGACATTGCAACTCGTTGTTGTAAAATCATAACCTCACAATCAATCATCAACGATCAACCACTATACGTCCGCTCATATATGTCCTTGTTGTATGCTGCTGTGATTTGAATTCGGTCACTTGTCAATTCATCTCGATAGCGTTTGGCTTCAGTTGGTGATTGAACACCTTGAATATACTGCGTGGCATCATTCCACAGTTCAGGCAGTATGTGTGTCTTGTCAAGACTCGAGTTGTACCATTGTGGTTGTTGTGGAGCCACATGCGCAGTCGAAACAATCCGACAAGATGGATTCACTACAAAAAATGTCAAAATCTTGCAGTGTCCTGGTTGAGTTAGATCTGCAAGTTCAAATGATTGTTCCTTGTGTTGGTATCGATTGGGATAAACTACACATCGACCATTTGGTAATTCAAGCGATCCTATATACTGATTAGATAGTGATTCTCGATTAATGCCATACACATCTTTCCAATACATCTCAGATGCTATTTGATATTCAAAACGATCAACAGCCACGCGGAAATCGAGTTTGGGTGTGGTGATATTTTCCACATCGTAGTAATACAGTCCAGTTGCAACAATCGATTCGTTAATTGGACCTTCAATGTGCCAGTTTCCCTCGTTGTATTTAGGTTTGGATGGTGTCAGTTGAATGTTGGTGAGTTTGACAATGACTTGTAGATTACGACCACACAGTGATACTGGCTCTGCTGATTCATATTTGGATTCAAAATGTTCTGGAAGTGTTGGTACATATACGGGACGAATGACTCGAGTGTCTGATTACATACCACCATAGTTTGACTGGCTTGGTGGTTCATATCCCTTTGTGCCATTGTGAATATCAATATAATTGAACCGTGGATCCATCGTTCTGAACAGACTTTCAAACATTGGGACAAAACATTTGAATATTTTGGCAATGCATTTGTACATGTCTCGATGCCATATCGGATTCAGATTGTTGATGTATGAGTTGATGGTCACACTGTCATCCTGTTCGACACGGAATTCACTCGGAAGACATTGAGACTTGCGTGATATAAACTTGGAATTGCCTTCAATGATGGGCACATTTGAAACAAGTTGAGTCGATAACAATATATCGCATGGTACCATTGTGATGTATTTGAGTCGTATATCCAGTGGTGCAATCATCGTTTGTCCATATACAACACTGTACATTGATGCATCAATCAGATTGTGCACCATTTGACCAGTGTTGTGATTTGATCCATGTTCAATATCCGATACATTTGTCATCAATCGCGTATATACATTGTCAGGTATGCCATTGTCCAGTATATACGTCAGTTCAACAGGTCCTGGGACAATTGTGCCAAATCCATCACTGCCATTACAAACAAGCTGCTCGACAAAAAACTCGAGTTGTTCCAATGCAAGATTAAATGTTGATGGCAATATATTCCGATCGAGTGAGTCGACCCTCCATTGCTCCACAATATGCTGGTTTGTGATATCGATCCACCACATGGTTTTGCAAAGTATACATTGCAGATACTGGATATACCGCATTTCGACAAGTGTGCGTGCCTGTCCATGTGTATCTCCGGCCATTCCAGAACTCGTACCAATTTTGGCATTGTCGTTGTATGGCTGAATTTCCGAACTAGCAACATGAACCCGATGCTGGAAACACGTTTCAATGATCTGTTCAGCAACCCTCTTGTTCATGTATTCAGCAGTGTCCGATTGTACAATAGCCGTTAGATTTTCAAACATCTCGACTTGATCCAACTCGGTACGTATTTTGAACTGTCGGAATGATTATCGGCAAAATCAACAAGTATTTTGAGTAGTTTTACAATACCAGGGACAGGATTTTCATATAAACGTATATCTGGATGTGGGAGAATAGTGTTGAGTTGCTTCAGAATTCCATATTCTTGAAACACCTTGATCATCTCGGCCTTGTTTGTAGATTTCTGAATCATTTTGTTGACATGGCCCAACAGGTAAAAAAGCCACCCATATTGAGATTGCACATCGATATCGTCAATTGCTCAAAAACCAACGACCGTACAAGTGATACAGGAAAGTTACGCATTTTGGATGCAACTGATCCCGCCATGTTGATTATAAGTGTTTTTAGTCTAGAGTCGTTGCTGTATCTGATACACAAGTCGTTCAGTGTTTGAATCAAATCCAGCCTCATCAACTCGGCTAAAATCACTTCACAACCTGCATAGTTGCAAAAACTCTGAATAGTATCAATACTTTGACTAATCACTGCTTGATCGACACTCCTGTATTCATGTCATGTCAATCCAACCATGTCAAATTTACCAATTGTGATGACTGGACACACATTCATGCATAACACCACATACCTGAGCGTATTGACTATTGCTGGAATGATGCCACATTTCACTGCTTTTGCTGGGTCATGACGATGAATATTCAGATACATGGTTTTGAGCCTACTGATAAAACCAACAGCAACTGAACCATTGTATGATTCCAGTCGTGAAACAAGTCTTGATACCACGATGCCAAACTAATGATATTGTTCAATGTCAAGTATACAATCAGATCAACATGACTCGACACTGTCCAAACTGATCCAATATTGTATTGTTGTAAACATACATTTTCATCGTCAATATCATGACAAGCTTTCAAGAACAGGTCAATCGCCAATGTGAGTACTTGTTGATCAGACTCGTGAACAATAATCTCAACCATTGGCTTGATGTCAAATTGATCCTCTTCACTCCAGCGTTTATGTTTGAACAACTCTGTACATGTGTTTATCGCCTATATGCATATTGACACTAGATGAGTTGAATGTCAATCATTTGATCAATATCAATCATGACTTGCCATTATTTTGACTTGACGGTTTGGCGATTGCATGCATTGTGAAAGTTGGTCGTTTAGTCGTTGAGATATTTTGAACTCATTATTACTGTACATCATTCTCAAAAACACTGTAGTAAACTCCATTACTTTGACCTACACAACACATGTTGATTAGTTTAGTCATGAACAATCCATTATTGTTACAATATATGAATACCTGTAAACTGGGTCGATTATACTCCAAATACTTGGTTATGATATTTTCCAGTCCAATACTCTGTAAGCGCTGCGCTACATATGTATATCATGCCATTTCAAACCAACA